CAAACCATTCTATGATTCTATGATCTTTTTCTCTGTGTTATTGAGGTTCACTGATGCAGAAAAACCCAGATAGCATGAGATAAATGTTCAGCTCCAGGCAGCCTACAACACCCATCTTTTCTGTCCTTCCCAAAGCTGAAGTGGATTAACTTGCATCACTATGCACTGACTACCTTTGCAAGAAGGAACTTGGGAAGCACAATATTCACATCTTTTCCTTGTGAAAATTTTAAGCCAGACTTGCAAGCAGATTGCATGCAGTGCCAGAGCACCAGTTGACCTGCCTGATCAACAGGCTGACCACACTATCTCCTCCAAACTAGACATCTCCTAACCAGTGTTTCAAAGTGATGTTTCACTTTCATTCTTTAGAACCAGAAAACAATGCTTCATTGGAAGTACAAATTCAATAATATGGGGTGACACTTGTCAGCTGATGGCAATTAATGAATGTTTCTCATGGTTCATCTAGCAGTCTGCTTAACACCCTGATGCAGACATTCAGCCTCCAGAAAGTCTCTGTGGTTGCCCCTAGGCCTGATTCTCGGTTTCAGACTATTTTATTGTTTATTTATTGAAAAAAAAAACAAACCCCAAACAAACCCACAGCTGTTACTAAGCCATCTTCATCTTGCAACTGTGTCTCACAGGTGGTGAGGTGAAAGCCTTGCTGCTTCTTTACACTGTAGCCCCATGACTGACCTCCTCCAACCAAAGAAACCACACTGCTTTGAAAAAAAACAAACCACCTTTTCAAAATAATACTGAAGAGGGAGATCCAGATACGGGATGAAAAGTGTCACAGCCTGGGAGTGCCTTTCTTTTCTTCAAAAAGGTTTAATAAAATAATATATTTCCTCTCTCTGTAATGTAAAGCAGAAGTGTGCAGTCCCTACCTACCCCTCCAGCTGCATACATACCTCTAGTCCCATACGTCCTTGGGATAGTTGCCATGTGCTATTTATTCAGTGACTATTTATTTATTCCTAAAACTCTGCATTGCACTAGTAGAAGTGCTTACTATTTCCCATCCACTTTTTTTTTTTCCCTCTAAACATCTTTCACGTTACAGGAAATACTCCAGTGCTGTATGAACATCAGTTCATTTAGGAGGGAAAACAAGAATCTATTTCCTAAAAAGAAGACTGTAAAACCTGAATTTTCTTTGTGTTCTTAACCTCATTTTGCCTCCTCCGAGGAGGATCATGGAGGTAGGGAGGGGCAGATTTCTGAACCATCAGGCAGTCAGGGGAGGTTTTACCCACCACTACAGCCTCCTTTGCAAAACTCATAGAGATTCTCTCCCTGAAGAGAAGAGCAGGACATGTAGGAATACAACTTATCAATGGCCTAACAGGGTCATCAACTACAGAGTTCATGTTCTGGTTAAGAGGCTAAACATTAGGTCACAGAGCAACAGGTACATTCTTAAACTAACATACAAGTTGACACAGTGACTCTCATCAAATCTCTGCAATTATTCTGCTGTGTTTGTGGGGACAGTAGCTGCTATAAAGCCCAAGTCACAGTGTAAAGCCATGGAAATCAGGATGTCAAAGCAAGAACTGGGGCTTTGCAGACTGTGTACAGTTGGATTTACGGACTACTAGGGCAACTTCATGATGCAACAGGGTACTAGGATCCCAAGAGATCTCTTCACTGTGCTGGAGAAACTCATAGGTGGGAATGCAGGTTAGGACAAGAGACAACTGGCAGCACCTCTGCCTGCTTGCAGCTCACTGTCATCTGCAGCAGCAAAGAGCAGAACAAATTGCAAGGAACATCACCAGGGAATGGTACCCAGTATCCAGGCTGTGCTTTTGCATCAGGAAACTGAGAGGCCCAGAAGAAAACCAAACACAGCCATCCACAAAAGATAGGAACCTTCTGACTCCAAAGTGTGTCATGATATTTTGCCTCATGTCTCCCTGTGTTCCAGGCCCTGAAGCTTAGGCATCTCCTGAGCAGTGTGCTGAAGCACACCATTGCCTCACATGCTACTTCTCTGTATTAGTAAGTTGGCAGATACTCAGAGGTGCCAAACATTATAGACCTTAGCAAACTGTACACACAGTCCTGCTTAACACACAATATCTTTTCATCAATAGCCTGTAGCCCCCTCATTGTTCTTCAGACATGGGAGTACAGCCTGAATACACACAAGACCTTTTGGGTGGCAAAAAAGAGACAAGAGGTACTTCAGTTGAAGATTGAGCCTTCCCTATCCTATTTTATAGATGCCACCGTTCGTCATCTTCAGAATCAAAAGGGTGAACACTGCAGAGGATAGCCTGCTACAACAGGTTTGAAACCTGCATTGCTGCAAAAATCCCCCACCTTACACCTTGAGGTCCTGGATTTTCGTCACTTCCATGTCACAGGGCTAAGTGACCAAGTCTCTGATACCCCCTTCCATAAATAACCTTGATACTCTCAACACAGTAATGAATGCTGGGGGTTCTTATTGCCCCCACCTCTTCTAGTGTCTTCCAGATGCTGCCGACCTCCCAGAAGCTGGACATGCATTACTGAAATAATCTGATAAGAGATAAAGGGGGGCAAGACAGGGAAGGCAAAGTAAGGACTTACCAAGCACAATGACCACAGTCTTCAGGAGGCTCATCATGGTGTCCCGATTCCTGCGGGGTCCAGAACTGTGTCTGGACATTCTCATAGTCCTTTGGCGGACGTACCCAAAGATATGAGCATATAGGACCACCATGACCACAAAAGTGACCAGGTTGAAAATAGCCCAGAAGACCAGGTAGGAGTCACTATAGAGGGGTGCCATGTTGGAGCAGTGAGTGATATCACAAATACAGTTCCATCCGACACTTGGTATGGCGCCCATGACAATGGCCATAGTCCAGATAACAACAATTACGACCACCACTCGACGGTTGCTCATTCGAGTATGTAGCTGCATTCGGAAAACTGTAATGTGCCGCTCAATAGCAATGGCCAACAAATTGGCTACAGAGGCTGTCAGGCTAGTGTCAATGAGACCCTGACGGAGAAGCCAGGTGCTTACAGTCAATCTTCTAGTGTTGGGTCCTGTGTTGAACATTAAGTAAAAGTAAGCCAGCCCTGCAAAAAAGTCTGCAGCGGCCAAGTTGGCCATTAAGTAATAAATAGGAAAGTGGAATCGGCGGTTGACATAAATAGCCACCATAACCAAGAGGTTGGCCAGCATTATGAAGATGCAGACGGTAATCCCCAGTCCCATTACAAGCTTGCTGACAGTGTTCCATTCAGTGGCTAGATATTTTCCACTTCGGTTATAAAAGAAGGCAATGGTTTCATTGTAGTAGCACTGTGGTTCACTCATGGCTGTGGACTGAAAGAAGAGGGGAAAAAAAAAAGAGATTAAAAAAAAAAAAAAAAAAAGAATGACATGAACACTGAAAAAAATATGATTGCCTCCATGGACAAAACATGCACAGAGAGCAGGGAGGGAGACAGGAAGGGAACATGTTTCAGAACAAATTTAATTTTTCAGACCAAATGGCATTCCACAACTCACAAACAATTGCTCCGAGGAGTCTAGTAACAGCAACCAGATTAGAAACAACCAGGAATGCTTCCATCTGCTTTGGGAGCTAGCATGATTTCTGGCGTCGCTGTAAATTGCATAGTAAACGAACTTCTGGTCAAGCAGACCTGCTGAAAAATTCACTTAGAGAGAAGGGCATGCAATTTGTAATGAAGAAAAGTTAATTCTGTTACAGGATACCTTATTTATGTTATCAGTGCATAAAACTGTTGTTTGGCTGTAGTGATGTTATAAGAATAGCTCCTGAAAGAGGAGGAAAATTGGATTACATTTCCCAGCAGGTTTTAACTCATTCTGGTCTCCATCAGGGGTATTCCTTGTCTTGTCTTAAAAACTGAGAAGAACACCCTGAATTAAGACAATCAATATGCTCTAAGACTGTGAATTGCCAGGGCCAGGGGCTATGTCTGTCCATAAAGCATGAAGTGCACCAACAAACAATAGAAGAAGCATGCCACGGTATTTCTATGAGCATATTTCTTTTTCCATCAACCACATTTCTAAACAGGGTTTGAAATACACCATGCTTTTAAGTATAACTCATCTGAACTGGATTATTCCGATTTGAAATAGGAGTGAGGCAAGAAATCAGAAAAGCAGTATTTGACTTAGCTAGTGTTAAAAGCATCAAACCTTATTTCTTGCAGTAAGTATTGTTATAGCTATGTCAAGGAATACATGATTAATGTTCCTTGCAGAGTACTCAGCTGAGCACAGCTATGGGTGCAACAAACTCCATACTCCACTGGAATGTAGAAGTTTTGCATAAAACTATTGGCTAACAAGAAAATGCTTTATGAGCTTCCTTCCTCAGTTACAATCAGTTACTCAAGGTGCAATTCTCAAAAGGCAAACCTTAGAAAAAGAAACCCCTCTGAATAACATCCTGGTTCCTTGTTTTGCATGGCTTAACAACGAGGATGTAACAATAATAATTAAAAAACCCTACAAAAACAAAACAAGAAACTCATGTCAAAAAAGTCTCTTTCTAAAGAGACCCAGGAGACCTGGCTCTGACACCCTGCTTTTATGGCTCTGAAACTCCACTGACTAAATTTGAATTTTTACAAAGAGAGGAGCAGTTTCAGCAACAAACTGGGTAATAAGCCCAATCAAAGAACAAAACAACAACAGTAAAAGATGATAATTTCTTCCCATTAAAACATGCAAACAATGGCTGGACAGCTCCAGCCATTCTGCAGGAAATGCTACAGCTGACTTAACCTTAATGTCAAAACAAAAAGTGTACAGAATTGGGAAACAGAATTATTAATTGGACTTGAGTGAAAATAGTATCTGATAAAGATTTCCTTAGAATTGCCCAAAGCTATTTCTATTTCCTTTCATTTTCCTCTGTTTGTCAACACAATTAAGCTAATTCCAATAAAATAATATACAAAACTTACCACCTATATCTCAAATGCATTACATGACATTTAGATTTCTGTTAAAAAGGTCTTTTTACAATTATTTTACCTCCACTCTGAACATCAATCAGAAACATTTGCAGACCCAAAAATAAAAATCTAGAGTAAATAGTATTTCTCAGCACAGTGACTATAAAACTTTTATTGTTCCTCTAGGATACATCAACTCTTAGGTTAGAAACCTTTCAGCCTCAATTATTTAAGAATTTTTAAAAGTTCTCATATAGGAGCAATCTGTTGCACAGAAAAAACAATTTATAAGGGATACTTAACAAAGGGAGACCTAGCTACAAGACATCTGGCTTTAATTCTTTGGTTAAAGACCGTATGGTAATAACAGGTCAAGTATAAGAACCCTTGAGGGAGAGAGGAAGTCATACGAATGAATTAGTGGCCCTTATAAAAGCTTGCCAACATCTGCATTAATTATGTCAATGCTCTGTTTTTTTTTCTCTCTGTAGTAATATCTGGATGCAGTCTTACAGTCTAAATTACAGAGGAGGTCAGGACTCCAGGATCTAGTGGACTTTTGTGATCCTGAATAAATTCTCTCTTTGTCTATGTATCTGTTGATCCAAATTTTTCTTTCAGATGGCTGCTGCCTATACGTA